TTTTAAGTTTTTAACTGGATTTAAGTGTGCCGTGCTGGGGGTGGGGGGAGTGGCGCCAGTCCCGGGGGTCTCGAGGCCCTTCAGCAGAACTTAGCTGTGTTTTTAAACCAGCCCCGCGTCACCGTTATATGTCTTTTGTGTTGCTTCAGAAAACGTTTTGAAAAATACATGGAAAATAGGGGAGAATGAGCGGTGTTAGCTTTGAGGAGCTGGAATGTGTGGTGTTGACCTCTGTGTAACTAGAGGTGAAGGTTACATTTCTGGTGAAGTTGGTTCCCTTGTTGCCACAATCTAAACTTTTCTCTAAGGAATGCTGGTGAGGAAATGCAGAGTGCAATGTGTTTGTCTCAGTGCTCAGATTCCTACCTTCGTTGCGTGCTATGCGTTTCTTACATCAGCAGCTAGATTTTCATCTGCCTGGTTTTTAGTTAATGTTAAAAGAAGCAGCTTATGTTTCACGCAGTTATTATTATAGTTAATTTTCTTGTAATTATGTCTGCAAAGCTGTAAGCATTAGATTATGTCAAGCGCCTGAGGTTATTCTAGTAACTGCGGAAAAATCCTTCAGTGGCAAATTGTGAAATATATTGAATTTTCAATTCACAAGTGGTTTGTTTTGAATTATATTAATGACTCGTAGGAGAGCAAGCCAAAATATTCATCTTGTGTAGGGTCAACTACATGGGTGTGGGGATTGAGAGATGGTTGTATGGCATTTTTTTGGAGACCTCCACTGTTGGAGGCAGAGCGATCGCGCCACACAACTTATTTGTATGCTCATCAAGAAAAGCTTTGCAACTGTAAGGACAATAATGTACTTGAATCCTCTTTGCTATAGTTTGAACCCATTTCTAGTCACAACTATAAATGGCTTGGGAAACAGCTTATTTCAGTTTTCTGTGCAGCTGGCTCATGTGTTTGGTTTGGTTTTTTGTTTTGGATTGGGTTTTCTTGTCCATTTTAATCAGGTCTCTTCTTTTTTTAACTTAAACATTCCTGGTTACTTTAATCTTTTCCTGTATATTATGCATTTAAGCCCTGATCATTCTTGATCCTCTTCTCTGGACTTATTCCAATTAGTTCAAATACTTGACTCAACTTGAAGGGCAGTATTCAAAACTGGATAGAGTACTCCAGCTGAATCCTACACAGTAGTGAGTAGTATGGAAGATTTATGTGCTTTCTAGCTTTATTTCTGTTTACGCATCCTGGTATGGATGGCATGCTGTTGGCTTATTCAGCTTCTGTTCCAACTTAGACTCCAGGTCTTTTCTGAACCTAGTAAATTGTTCTCTTTCCAGTTGATTATTCCTGCCTCAATAGAAAATCTTGCATTGCTGCTTATTAAAGCTCCGTCCCTGTTTTGTGGTTTGTTTGTGGTGGTTTTTTTTAAAGAAACACCTCTGATTAGGAAAGACTAGATTAGAATTCAGAATTTTCTTCCATCATGTTTTCATTTTGTTGCAGCTTGCTGCCATCTGTAATATTAATAAACATAATCTTTACTTAATCATTAAATAATACTAGACTTTGGAGGGTCATCTGTGGACCTTCAATGGCTTACATCTTGATTCTATTTTCTTACGACCTTGCAGCCAAGATGAACAGTAGTATCAGTGTACTATTAAATTGGACCTATGCCACAAACTAAATCCTTATCACATAGGTAAGTACGTTTTCTGACTAATTAGGACAAGCCTGTGTACTTCCAAGGCTGGCAGGAGACAATATTCCAAGCTTGTCTCTTGCTCTTTGATCTTTAGCAGCAGCTTGTTTATTCCTGAGATGTGCAAGGCACAAAGCACCCTGAAATAGATGTGGAGAAGTCTGTCCTTAGTAAATAGGATTTGAAAATATATTTGGGCCACACTGTAATGCTCACCTTAGCTCTTTTCTCCTTCCCCTGCATCCCCTAAGTTGACCTCATCTGAACCTTTAGTCTTTCGCAGGGCAAGAAGACCCCAGCAAGAAGGTCTGCTCTGCCTTTGACACCTTGTGCTACAGAGCTTTTCCTCCATTCACCAGATAGAATCTTTAAAAAAAATTATAAGCTAAATACAGAATCCCCTGTGTAATATGCCACAGCTGTCTCTTACTTTGGACTTCTTTTCTTAGCATGCCATTATACTGTTTGAGCATTTTCCTGATGTGTACATTAGATCTGTATGACAGTATGTGAACTAAAATTCATCAGTCTTTACAGTTCTTTCTTGGGAGGTTTTCCTTCCCTGCTAATGGAGGCTGCCTTGAGCTGTACAGAAACTTCCAGCACAGCAGAAAAGCTTTTCTCCTTTTCTCAGCCTGCCTGTCTCTAGCTTCATGGCTGCACAAGCTAGAAAGCATTTGGTGTCACACACTTACTATCTCTAAACTCTCAGCTATTACATGATGTGACAACAACTGGGAGGAAACTAAGTGTTGTATTTTCTTGCATCTTCAAAAGAAGACTGAAACTGAGTAGCTGTTAAAATTCTACACAAAAAGAGAATAGTCAACTTTTCCTTTCCTTTCTCAACTGCTTAGCATTGACTTATCATAGCATTGATAAGTCCTATCCTGAACTACCTGAGTGACATTAGGTTAACTCCTCAGGGTAGTGAGCGTCTAAGGTGTACATCCAAATGTTACTTAATAAGGCCCACAATTGTATAGGAACATATCTGTTAGAGGTGGAACGATCCTACCAGATGACAAGGTTTCTTTCCAGTAAGCTTAAGAAAAATTTTGATTCACCAGGTATCTTCAGTCTTTTGTGCGTGTGTCTTGAATCTCATTGTAACTTGCTTTAAATTGCAGTAGGCTTTTATTCTTTGCAATGACTTTGAATGGACTTTTCAGATATTTCTGAATTATGAACTAGGGACATTAACTCTTTGTGAAAAGACAGGGCTTTTGGAAACACTAAATGAATTTTTTATTCTGCTGGTTTGTAGAAAGAATATATGAATTGTGAGTTGTAGTATCAAAAATACACAATATATTTCTACTAACTATAATTTGTGGATCTCAAAAGTTATTACAAGTCCTAACTATTATTCTGTTGCTTTAAAGTTTGTTCCCTCCATCCCTTTTCTTTTTTTGTAAGGGGATATAAGGTAATATCATAGACTACTTTTATTCTGTTGTTCTTACTACTCTTGTGGACTGGAATACTTAAACTGCTGAGGTTAAGGAACCTCCTTCAGCGGAAGTTCTTAAGGCCGCTTTAGAGGCTGTCTAGACATGAGGTGGCCTCACAGTGGAAGGCTTGGACTAAATGGTTGCTTCAGATCCTTTCTAGCTGTTCCTGTGAGTGTTTTAATAGCTTTTCATGCACGCAGGTACTTGTGAAGTTACTGTTTCTTGTTTCGAGTCTTGTTTGCCTTAGCTGAGACACACTGGCTTGCCCATGTGTTTTCTGTCTGTTGAAAATTCAAGGAAAATTAAAAACTATTTCATGATTTTTGGTCTAGACTAAAGCATTCATTATGATGAATTATGATAACTTTTGTATTTCTGATGACTTCAGAGTATATGCATAGTTAGGTATGACAACTCTGATACTCTAGCTCTGTGGTGAGACAGTGAACATAGCCTGTGTTCTCTCTGTTTTGAGTTATCCTAGTTCTGGTTGTAGTTTATGGTTAGTGTGTTACTCTTGCTGACTAGTTCTGGTGTTTGCCATTTTGAGATAAAGCAAAAATGACTGCAGTACTCGATACAGTTAATAAGATGCAGAAATGTGAATAGCAGCTCTAACAATACATTGAAACAAAGTATTTTTATTTCTCACTAATACTGCTTTCATTTAATTTTTATTTCTGAGGTCCAAGAATCCCTAGTTGTTCTCTTTTTCTCTCATCTTCATAAATATTACATCTAAGAATTAGAATTACTTCTGTAGGGGAGAAATTTGTTACAGTAGGTTCTTGTGTTTTTTTATTGAAGAATATGCTCTACTTGTAAATAACATAAATATTGTAATGTAGCTGAACTGTATATTCTTTGGAATTAACGTGCAGGACTGAACAATATCTGCATTTACAGCACAGATTACTTAAACTCATTTGTTTCTTCTGGAAAGGTAGTCTGGTTTTTTTCATATTATATAACATAATGAGTGATTACTCTTATGAAGAAAGCATTTTAAGATAACTTATCAGGAGTATTCTAATACTTTTGGTCTCTTGCATAGAAAATGAGAGACAAACTTAGGCAATTATGTATTAATATAGGCTAAAATAATACTCTCTTTCTTATTTTAGGGACCTGTGGGATTTAAGAATATCTCTCCTAAGAAAATTTGCTGCTTCTACAGCCTTCCATCTTAGTGTGCAATTAATGATTTCACTTGAAACACCTATCTGAAGAAACTAACTGTAGGCAAGGGGTAACTGCTTTTTAAAAATGTTAAAAGTCCAGCAGTATGTAACAACCGACAGGATACTCAAGAAAAAGCCATATACTTGTGACATTTGCTATAAACAGTTTGAAACTCCATCAAAATTAGCTAGACATTATCTGATACATACTGGTCAAAAGCCATTTGAATGTCATGTATGCCATAAAACATTTAGGCAGCTAGTCCACCTGGAGAGGCATCAGTTAACCCATGATCTTCCTTTTAAGTGTATTGTTTGTCATAGAAACTTCAGAAACTTAATCACTTTCTTAAAGCATCAGCAGCTTCATAATGAAAATTACCAGAATGATACCGAACAAGCAGAAAACTCTGTGAATTCTGAGCAAGACAGGGACACTTGTGGCATATTTCGATGTTCTGTTTGCTGGAAATCTTTTACAACTGAAGAGAGGTGGATGCTGCATCAGTGCCTGAAGGCAGATCCTCTACATGGTGCCAGAAGGAGAAAGAAAACTCACGCTTGTGAATCGTGTAACAAGACATTTCCATCAAGATCTAAGCTAGAAAGACACTTCCTTATTCACACTGGCCAGAAGCCTTTTAAGTGTTCTTCATGTGGTAAATCTTTCAGACAGTCAACGCACTTGAAAATCCATCAACTCACACACACAGAAGAAAGGCCTTTTCAATGCTGCTTTTGTCAGAAGGGGTTTAAAATACAGAGCAAACTCATGAAGCACAAACAGCTCCATTCCAGAAATAAGACTTTCCCCAATACTTTATACAAAGCAAAGACTCTTAAATATCCCAGACCACAGAACCTTTTGGAAGGAAAGAGGAATACTGTTGAGAATGCTGACACTCATGAGTCACAGGAGCATGACCCACATGATGTTCACTTGATTTATAGTGTACCCTTTCAGTGCCCAGCATGTGAGCAGTGTTTTGAAACGGAGCGTGTTCTAAATTTGCACAAATGTTCGTATGTGAGAGATGGCAAAAGTTCAAATAATGGTACAACGGCGTGCAGCCACACAATCAGCATGAAAAACAAGATCCCGATGAAGCTGAAGTGTACTGGAGGGAAGGCAACAGATTTTGCTCTGACTGATAGAAAAAAAATAAAATCGTGTCACTTTAAAAATCCTGTCCTGGTTGCAGCTAGAGGTCAGCGCTGTGATCAGCAAGCTTCCACTAAACCTTTCAAGGATCGCCATAGCAAGCTTCACATGAACAAGGTACTTAGTAATCGGATGAAAAGAACGTTTGCTGTGCCATTATCGTGGCAAGAGCACCAGCAGCCTCACGACTTTGGAATTAATTTAAAAGGTATGCTTACTGGTAAAAGCATGTTAAACGTCGATGATTCACTGCATAATAAAGATGACGCTTTTTATGGTTCATCAGGTGATGGTTTCTTTGATAATCCAGAAGTACTTCACTGTGCTCTTTCAGCTCCTACTAAAAATATACATGACAGACACAAAGTGTGTAAATGTGACAGATGTGAAAAAATCTTTCCATCTTCATCCAAACTTCAAAGACATTATCTTATACACACGGGACAGAAGCCCTTTGGCTGTAATGTTTGTGGGAAGACATTTAGACAGTCAGCTCACTTAAAAAGACATCAGCTCACCCATACTGAAGACAGACCCTATAAAAGCCCTGTTTGCCAGGCAGAATTTGAAAACCTGAACAAACTTTTCAATCATCAGGGAGAGCACATTGAATTTAAGTCTTCCCAGCCTGTGGGTTATTCAGGTTATTCTCAAACACCTTCACAGGCATCTGGCTTTCAAGAATTTGAGCTGATACAGTCAAACCAAGCAGCTGAAATCAAAGTTGAAACTGAATTGGGGAACTTTGTTCTTGACAACAGCAGTAGAAACACACAGCCGTATTTGTGTAGTAAATTGTTGGAAACAGAGCAAAGATGCTACAGCTATTGGCATGATTTTTCTGAAGGTACTGAAAAAAGTGAAGTTAACAAATTGTATCAATGCAGTATCTGCTTTAAAACTTTTAAATCACCTTCTAAGCTTGAAAGACATTACCTAATGCATGCTGGACAGAAGCCATTTGAATGTTTAGTTTGTGGTAAAAATTTCAGACAGGCCCCTCATTTAAAAAGACATCACCTTACTCACTTTAAAGAGCGCTTAAAGCTGAGTTCCACTGAGCAACAACCGGAGACTATATTGTGTTTATCAAAACTAGATAATGTCCTATGAAATTATATATTAAAATTTTTGGTTGCATAATTATTAAAAGGCTTATGTTTGAGCAATTGACTGAAGGGGATTATCTTTTTGTATTATGGAGATGACCTGGTGACGAGTTAATTTACTGTCTTCAGAACTGTCTACTTGATATAATCTGTGATGAATGTGAGAAGATGTTCACAACAAAAGAAATAGGCAATAAAAAAGCCACTTCGCATTTTTTTTGTAAATTAATTTATAAATGCACATTCTTACTCTATTAATAGTGTTGCAGCAATATGCAGGGCTCCATGAATCAGGTATTTTTAAAAGTTATACCTTTTCCCGTATAGTATTCTATGACATTATGCTGTCCAGTGATAACTATCAAAAAAGTAAGGATAAAAAGGTAATTTCCAGAATAGAGGAAAAAACAGTCTTTTTACTTTCTTCTGGCTCTCTATATGTTGCAAACAAAGGACCCTTGCTGTATTTCATACGCTTAAAAAAAGTAAGTTATTTTTAGACAAAAGATGAAAAAAGATGAAGGTAAAAAAGGGGGAAAAGGAAGTTTCATGAGGAAAAATGTTGATGTGGCATTATAGAAGAGGTAATAGAAGAAAATTAACTGCTTTGTAATATGCTTGGAGATCTGTGGATGAGGAATTAGATCTTTTCCCTTTTTATGATAAAATGTGAGTAGACAATGCTAAAATAGCAGGGTTTATAATCAATTAATCCATTTCACCACTTCATTATCTCCACTTCTTTGTATATCCCTTGCTTTCTCTATCTTTTTTAGCCAATTCATGCAATACTGAACTATTTTTCTGCAAGAAAGGAGGACAAGAAATTATGATTACTATTACAAACGGACTTACTATCTGTTCCAGTCTCCTTTCCTTCGAGCGTATATATTGCACCAGTAAAGGAAATGTTCTCCAAGATGTGTTAATAACTCAGATGAGCAGTTTTGTAAGGAAGTGATGTTCTTGTTACATTAAATATAAGAGCCTGAAAATGACTTTTAGCTCAAATTAAATAATTCCAATTTTGTATTAATAGAATCTGTAGTTATACTTTCTGGTAAGTAGAGAGCTTTGCCCATTGTGCCTGCGGGGCTGGCAAAAAGTGTAAGTGCAGTGGAGCTTTATTCATCATGAACAAGAATGAAGTTTGTGTGTCCTTTTTTTTTTCCTCTGAAAAAATATCTTTTAGGATATTATCCTTCATTACGCAACTTCTGAATAGTTGAAACCTGAAATTTTTAATCCTATTTCTTAATTAGCATATCTGTAAGAGATGTGGCATTCTTTTCACTATTTAAATAGATTCATATTTAATTAAAATTTTTTGTTTGTTTTTTGCTTTTGAAGTGATCTATGTAGGTTTTTCTGTGATATGAGCTTTGTAGTATTTGGTATAAATGAAGTGAAGGGTGAAGGGACTTTTTATTTTATTTTCTTACATGTTATTCTTTCCCATTTTCAGAGAGAATAAAACCAGGAAAGATACTCCGAAACAGTCTGTAGTTACTATGATTTCTGTATGACAGACAAATTCAGTACGTTAGTAATGACTATAGTTATATACTGAGTTTTTTTCTCCCTATGTGAATTGCTTCATATTGAAAGATGGGATACTGTATAAAATGCTTTGACAGTGTATTGTAAAGTTCTCAAAATACTTGTAATAAACTATTTATATTGTACTTGTATTGTATACTTCATGTGTAAACCAGAGTTTTGAAACTACATGATGTTCAGTATGTAGAGAAGTTTAAGATTACACATCAAAATAAGTAACTTTGCATGTTAGAATGATAGGTTTTGTTTCAGATACTTTTTGTTATAGAAATAGAAATATGTTTAAGGATAATAAGGAGTCATAGTCATTTTAAAAAATGCTATGTTTGAGAGTAATGTTTAGAGAAGACTAAAGTTGGTATGTTTTGAAAATACCAATTTGAGTAAAATGAAGGGAAGGCAATACAGAAAGCTGCTTTTCAGGGATGAATAGACATATGTGGGAAGTATTACTGTCTGATTAATTTGGAAACTAATGTAATCTTTTGACTCCATGTGTCAGTGTATTAACCATTTTAGGGGGATTAGAGCATAAACCAGCTAGAAAGGGGTAAAGCGGTTTCTAAGTCAGGAGAAAAAAAAAATCTTAAGTTTGAAATCCTGTCTCTTTGGAAGTTAACAGTAAAATTCTCCAAGTACCTTTGAGAATTTGAGCTAGAATGGTTTTCCTGGTGTTAACAATAGCACTTTGTGTTGTTCATTAGTATGTTACTCTTTTTTTTCCGTAATACTTCAAGGCAAGTTCAAGCCATCAATCTTTGAAGTATCTTTGGTGGCAGAGACATTGCCTGTGGTTTTGTTAAAATGAGCTGTTGGCTAGTAGTCTCATAGTACTGAAGTGGTGGATTTTTTTAAGACTATATGCAGAACCACAGCCTGTTATAAACAGGAAAACACTGGGTCCTCCTGTGTTAATATTGAGCTCCTCCCTGCAAGGAGAACTTCTCAAACCTGTGTGGATTCAGCTTTGACATAGTACTATGTGGATTAAAAGAAGGGTCAAATATTTTAAAACAAGCAGGAAAAGGTAAAAGGGATTTTTTTTAAAAGACAGATAAAGTATGTAATACTGAATTCACAGGAACTGCAGTATTAACTGATCACATAGTCCATTTTCTATCTAGGAAATGTGGCTATGGATAACTTTAAAATGTTTATGATTTTGATTGCTGTGCTATCCTTGCAATGTTTGCAGAAAGTCAAAACTTCCAAAATACATGTAAGTATTCCTATATATGTCTAGGGAAAATTGAAAAAGCAAAAAAAGCCATCATAAACCACAGAAAACCTGTTTAATCACTTTTGTACCTGCTTCTCACTGAGTGTTTGGTTTCTCACTTGTCTGTGAACTGCTCTCAACTATTATGCCCAGAGCGAACAAGAAAAGTTTGTGAGGCAAATGGGTGATAGACACAAAAGAAACTTAACTAAAGTTAATGAGACCTTAGGCTTCAAATTGAGATGATGGATCTAATATTTAGTTTTCTTGGTGTCCTTCTAGTATAAATGTAAAACTCCTGAAAGTCATAATCTTGCAACAGTAGCTCACTAGAGTAACACTTAGGTAAGTACAGCTGAATGACTCTTAAATCAATAAAGACCATGGCTTCAGTCCTTCTAATGGCTCCTTGTAATAACGTCGAAGATGCGTAGATCTCCTAAATAACTAAAGGGGCCATGGTTCATATTCCTAGCACAAGGTTTTGTGGATTTTTAAAGTGCAAGTTTTAACTCAATAGTCTAGTTCTATGGTCTGATGGCTGAGATGTGTCTGAGAGGCAGTTATCGTAAGGAAAATTGAAATTATAGAAGTGACTTTTCTGTGCTCTCATATACCTTATTTTCTCCAGCTTGAGTAAATTAATTGTACTTCTTCATATAATGACTAGGTCTGTCAAGCAGCTTTTTAACAGCATCTGTTAAAAAAGTGAATCTTCAAAGTCCATGCAAGTGAAGGAGAAATCAGCCTTATGCCAACAAAATCACTCACAAGTAGAATTGATCATTTCCTTGTTCAGAAACTGCTGTTCTAACATGAAAGTGTTATTATGGCTGCCCTGAGTTATCACAAGTCTTAGAATGCTGTTTTACTTCTATACTCTGCCCTTCCAGTTCCTGTCTGCTTCCAGATATGCTAACGTGTGGCTTGATTCTGCTATACATCTGACAGCTTGGATATGCAGCTGAAATTTCTCTTCTTCACTGGAATCCCTCTGGTGTCCCTGGTCCCAATTTGTATGGATCTGTGAAACCCCATGTGTGACTTTCGGAGAGTCATGGAGCTGGTTGTTGCATGCATCCTGCCATGACATGCAGAAATAGTGCCCGAGGATGTGAGAAGCTGACCAGCTATGATGCAAGCTGCGCTGGTCATTCTCCACTGAAAGTGGTCTGGGTACGCAGGGTAGCAAGAGCATATTGAAATGGTGGCTATCCAGCTTTGCCTATGGCTGCTTCACCACGTGGCACTGGAGTGTGCCTTGCTGACATAGTGAAGGAGGGAAATACAGAGAATTTTATGGCCACTGCTATATAAAGAAGTCAAATTCTGTTCCAAAGCTAAAGAAACCAACTACATACGCTGTCTCCTATTTGTACTGCTAATGCACTACACTCAATTTCTATTGACATCAAGGAAAACGCTATCCTCTTCGTAAGCAAATTTGCATTATTTGTGGATTTTTTTAAAGAGTATACATTTAAATGCTTAGTGTTTGCAAAAGTAGCTTGCTGAGCTACAGAAACTCAAGATGATTTCCTCAGTTTCTATTTTGATTCTAAAAGGATCCTGGAAATAGAGCTGAGCAGACATTCCTGATAATGACAATACAGTCCTAGTAAAATGAGTAGAAATCTGCTAAGCCACCTGAAGTGTCTCAGTCAATTTGAGGATAATTTTTAAGATGAAAACATGTTATGATTTTTTCATGGCATTGAGAGGAACCTTGGATTAGTATCTTGGCAACCTTGTTTGCTGTACTGCACTTTTATCTTGTATTTTATATTCTGGGTCTTAATAATAGAAGGCTCTTGGGTAGTGAGAATAGTTTTGTAAGGATTCCTTCAGACATCAAATAGCATGTCTGATGCTATTGTAATTAGCAGAGGAAAAATGTCCATTTGCTAATAAGCTAAAGTGATTTGTAATAGTTTATATTACAGTAGAAGGTTTTTTCAGTAAAAGAAATACTGAAAAATAATTTATTAATTTTTGTAATTACACTAGTGTGAATTTTGCTGTTTTCAGTAGGTATTCTGTTTTATTGCCATTTTATCCTCTCTTAAAATCCTGACATGCTAATGGAAATATCTACCAAAAGCACAGAATATATAGAGAAAGGCAAAGATGAAAGCTTTAGGAGACTGGAGCTAGCTCTCAGTATCTTAGAATTGTTCTCTCAAGTTTTATGCTGCATATTGGGTATGCTTCAGTTTTGTCTGCAG